CTGCCTTATAAGACTCACCAGACACTGTTCAGTTGTAGCTAACTTTATCTGCCCCTCAAACCGTTCAGACATTTTAAGTTTAATGTTTTGTGCAGACCAGCACTGCCTTTGGCCTGCAGTCATTAAAAAGCTCAGGTTCTGGACAGCTGTCCATGTTATACATCACACTTCCTGTTTAACAGGAAGTCCTTCCCTTCCTGTCTTTGTCTGTCCATTTCACACAAACATCTGAATTCCAAACAAAGTCAGGACCTACAACACTCGACTGGATCCTGACCCAGATCTTAGCCTGGTTCCAACATGAAACTGGGTCTGATACACAACACACACACAGGACACTTATTATTGTCCACCCATCAGTGTTCCTCCTCTTATCAGTCTAGAGAGGAACTGAATATTTTCAGGGAGTTATGAATGTTCCCCAGAGTCTCTTTCCAGTATCTGGAAAACCTCCAGGGAGAGGCATCCAGGAGGCTTCAGATGAGTTGTTTGAACCACCTCAGATTTGGATACGAAGTAGAGGCTGTACTCCCAGTTCAGCCTGGATGATGGAGCACCCTGTCTTATCTCTAAGACTGAGACTGGCCACTAGAATTCAGGATCTGCTTCTTTCAGTCCTGATCAAAACCTCATGACCAGCGGTGAGGGTTGAAGCATAGATGGACTAGTAAATCCAGATGTTTGCCTTCCAGCTCAACTCCTTCATCACAACAAACCAGAGCAACACTAACCCTGCACCACAACCACAGACCTACCTCCCACTGCATCACCACACCTGCTTTTAGCATGGACAGGTGTTATTGGCTCTCTAAGCCCTAACCCAAATACTGTATGATGTTCGGTCACATATTTGGACCAGGCTGTGGTCCCCATAAAGAATACTAGTCCTGATAAGGTATATATTTATACCAGAACATTTCCTTAAATGTAATTTTAAAAAGTTTACACACACACACACACACACACACACACACACACACACACACACACACACACACACACACACACACACAC